GTAAAGAATTAATAGGTTTCACAGCAAAATGTAAGGATATATGTTAATTAGATTATACATATATACAATGTATCATATGTGTATATTCTATATTATATATAGTAGGCTCTTTAATAACTAAAATCATTAATTCTTAACAATGTAAAAAGCACTAAGACAAGAATTGACTGTAAATTGGAAAAAGCTTGCTACCAACTTGTGGCAAATGTATTTATAAATGAAGAATCATAGTTACAATAGGAGATGGTTAGTTACAGGGGCAAGTTATCTATTCAGAGTCCTATTCTAGTCAACCTCTAGAACTCCATCTTTGTCGAAGAGTAGACTCCAAGTGGGATTCTTGTTGATCTGGACATTCACAAGCTCAACGGGGTGGATAATAGCACATTGAGCTTGGATCGAAGAAAAGAGAAACGTGGGTTGGACAAAGCCTTTGTAAACACATAAGTAAATTGATCTATATGTTGGGCATGTAAGCACTTGCTAGCAATACGTTCTCGTACAAAGTTGTAATCAATGGATAGGAGCTTGGTGCGAGCATGATAGATGGGGTTCACAGCCAAGTACGTAGCACCAACATTGTCACAAAACAACACCGGGAGTACTTTAAGAGAAAAGCCAAGCTCTATTAAGAATGGCTGCAACCAAATCAACTCAGCTGTAGTATTTGTAAGGGACCTGAACTCGGATTCTATACTAGAGGGAGCAATGGTATGCTGCTTATGAGAACACCAAGAAACAAGGTGTGGACCCAGATAAATAGCATAGCCACCAGCTGAGTGTCGATCATCTGGGCACCCAACCCAATCGGCTTCTGTATGGGCAATGAGAGAGATGTATTTGCAAGGTTTAAACAACAAACCATCATCCAAGGTATGTTTCAAATATCAAACAATGCATTTTGTTGCAACAAGATGGTTGTCAGTGGAGCACTACATGTATTGGCAAACACGATTCACAACAAAGGATATATCAGGTCGCATCAAAGCAATATATATATTGTAGGGCACCAACTAAGCTCTAATAAGGAGTAAGATTTACCAGAGGCTTGCCACCGGACTTGGAGAGAGAGAGAGGAAGAAGGTGCAAGAGGAGAACTGACTGGTTTGGCACCATCAAGATTGGTGCATTTCAACAAGTCATAGATGTACTTGCACTGAGAAAGAATCAAGTCTTGAGAGGAACAAAATACCTCTATTCCCAAGAAATAATGCAAGTCACCAAGATCTCTAATGGAGAACTCATTAGCTAGCGAGCTCAAGAGAGAAGACATGACACAAATATGGTGTCATGTGTGTTGATGCACCCGAATCCGGGTACCAATTGGTATCAATATCAAAGGTAATATCAGCATGAAAAGCCGTTGGGGTAGGAGGACACAATTCAAGCTCTAATCCCAATGGTATTGCTTCGGTTCAACCCATTCATAACCAACCTATGGACATTGGTCGAGACAATGCACTCGACTAGGATGTGGCTCTCAATGAACCATTGAACCAAAAAGTTTAAGCTGTTAAATGAGGTTATTGAATAGGTTTTATTCTCTAACATGCCTCTTCACACAAAAGCCAGCTCATTGGGCTTGAAGCATGAACAGCAAAGGCCCATCCATACCTTGTGCTGAAACTTAATTAACTATAATGGGGGTGACAAGAATCAAACACTAGACCACTTGGTCAAAGTGGCTCTGATACCATCTCAAAGAACCATTAAACCTAAAAGCTCAAGTTGTTAAGTGAGGTCCTTGAATAGTGATGTAACCGTTCCTGATCACGTATCAATTTTTTCGTGATGTATCAAATTTTTTGGCTAAGTACCTCATCAGTGACATATGCTCCCAAGTGGCTTGTGACTCAGAGGCTGAAGTGGAGCTCCCTGGTGGCGAGCTGTCTAGTGGCGAGCTACCTAGTGGCGAATTGTCTAGTGGTGAGCTCCCTGTGGTGAACTGCCTAGTGGCGAACTACCTTGATGAGCTGCTTGGTGGCGAGCTGCCTAGGGGCGAACTGCCTGGTAGTGAGATGGATTGATGAGCTTCCTTGCTCTTTAGAGACCTGCAAGGAACCAAATGTCAAAGGACCTGGGGTGGCTAACCCGGCGAGGTCACTCCGATGCTTAAGTCAGTATTCTCTCATAGTAGACCGCGAGCTAAAAATCACAAAGTATGAGAGCTAGAATTTGCTTACTTGCCCTCTTGCCCCCTTGCTCTTGGGGTTGGTGCCTTTATATAGGCATTGTTTGGCATGGGCTTCACGCACCATATTGGAGATTTCTACGAGGTCGTCTAAGTGGTTTAAGATTCCTAGAGGTAACCGCCATGCACGTTGACCACCCTCCAGATTGTTCGGCACATGGGCCAACTTCCAAGGATCGTGGGAGTGTTAGGAAATGCATGCCGGATTCGTCGGCGAGCACGTCTTGTAAGTCACCAGGTCGGTACCTGGGCCAGGTTGCCAGCTCGTGCTTGTGCCAGGTCGCACCTGTGCTAGGTCGTGCCTGTGCCTGGTCGCGCCTGTGCCAGCTCGTGCCTATGCCAAGTCGTGCCTGTGCTAGGCCGCGCCTGGGCGGCCAGGTAGGACACCATCAACTTGGCTAAGGCAAGTTGTTTCCAAACTGGTTCCGGGTGTCACCTAGTTGTTCTTAGGTGCCATGTGTCACAATATCATTGGAGGGCCAAATCCACCCTCATCATTTGCCCCCCACTCCCGAGCCGAAAGTAACTCGGTGAAGGGAGTAGATTTCTCCTTTTGGCCCGAAATGAATAATTCGATGAGCTCGTAAGCGTTGATTCAATTCCTTAGGCTCTGGGAGCGACTCGCAATCCACTCCTTGATTTTGCCCATGCCAAAGAGGCGACTGGGTCTTATATGGTGAGGAGCTCCCCGCTATTTCGGTATTTTGGTCCTTAGGCTCTGGGAGCGACTCATAGTTCACTCTCCTTGGTATTTGATTTTTCCCATGCCGAAGAGGCGAATGGGTCTTATGTGATATTTTATCCCTTAGGCTCTGGGAGCGACTCGTAGTCCACTCTCCTTGACTTTTTCCATGCTGAAGA